ACAACGTCTGGGGACGATGTTTTGAGTATTTGGGGGCATCATATTCTTGGCCGCCTGCAGGAGGACACGCCCGACCTAAGCCCAGCGCCGATCTGTCGGCGAGGCACCGCCGACTCCAGCTCTGGCGGGAGCGCAGGGGAGCGAAGAGAGTCGTGTTGCGCGCGTCGCGGCCTGGGCCGGGGATGCCGCCCTTCTCCGACGGCGCGGCGCGAGGGCACGAGGGTCGGTATCGTTTCACCGATCCCCATCCCCATCCCCATCCCCTTCGAGACCCCCACCAAATTATCACCCAGTTGGGGATACACCCCTCGAAGCCCGAAGGGAACGGCCTATATCCCCATCCAGGGGGGTCAATGGGTCAGCGGGACCCAGGCCAAGCCGCTGGGTATGGGGATCGGTAAAACGATGCGCACTGTACAGGAGGAATATCATGGCGCCAACATCGCAGAGTGGATTTCGTTCGGAAAGCGATGGGATGGGCCCCAAGTGTCCTGGAGAATTCCGTTCCGGATTTCGAGGTGAATTTCGTGCGAATTTTATGGGGGCCAGGAATGAGGACAAAAAAGAAACCCAAGCGAAATTCACTTCGATTTTCACTCGCCGTTTCGGGGTTTTGCATTGACAGAAAACCAAGCCAAAATCCGTTACAGCACGTCTGCGAAGACGGTGCAGTGAGGTATCTTCAAAAATAGTACAACGAATTAATCAGGGGACGATTTTCGAGCATTTCTGGATATCTCTGAGCATGGTTTGACTACTTGTCATTCCTCGTCCAGAATCCGCCTGTAGTCGGGGGCGGAAAAGAGGGGGGTGATGACTGGGGGGGGTGGATATCATGGCGCGGGCCATGATATCTCCCCAGATGTCATGGCGCCGCCCCTTCGTATTTCATTACATCCCTGGCCCCCCCGCTGGGCCGCGCGCATGCCGCCGGCCATGATTTGCACCCCCCCCTCTTGGACACCCCCCTCTTGGCCGCTCCCGACTGTAGGGGGACATGCCCGATCGAAGGTTGGTGCGTCCCCGGTGGACGCGGTGCAGCACCGAGGACGTGCCCGCAGGGACGAGAGCGCGTGGACGAGCGACGAGCTCCGCTCCCGTGCAGCACCGGCGCGCTCCGTCGCAACGTCAGGCGGCGCTGGCCTCGCGTCTCGAGGGGCGCCCTCCCCGACCCGCGGATCTGGCGCCCACGCGCCAGATCCACACGGGGGCGGACAGAACCCCCAACAGTGACACGTCGATTACTGAATTGTCCGTCTTCGACTCGAGAGGGCGCCGCGGCCGTTATTTTCCAGGCTTGCGCCCGCCAGGTTTGGGCCTCAGGTCGTTTTCACTAAACCACGTTTTACTAAAGGGAGGTCTGTCCATCCCCGATTCACGTCTCCCTGGTCCATGCTGGCGTGAGCCCGAGAGTACGGTTTGCGATGCAGGGGCGTCGTGGAGAGGGCGAGGCGCAGGGCGAGGGCGACAACGAGGGACCAGGGGGAGAGGACGACAGGGGGGAGGACAACGGGACGCGACGACGGACGTGACCAGGGAGAGGGTGAGGATCGGAGGAGAAGGAGGATCGGGATCAGGGGGAGAGGCCGGGGTGGAAGGAGCTCCTTGTTCCTCGCCTCCCGCCCAGCTTCTCCCTGGGCCGTCCGAAAACCTGAGGGGCGCTGGCGTCGAGACTGTGAGGCTGGGCTCTCGACCGCTGGCCGCAGTTGTCCCTGCTGTGACGGGGCCCCCCCAAGCGGGCCATCGGACCATGCCCCCCCTCTCTGATCGTTCCCTCCTCCTCCTCCTCCGCCTCCTCCTCCCCCTCCTCCTCCTCCTCCTCCTCCTCCTCCTCCTCACCTCCCTCCCTTCCTCTCCGTGCCCCTCTCCCCTTCCTCCTTGCTCTTCCTCCCCCGCCCTCCTCTCCCCCCCCCGTCGCCCCGCCCTCCCAGGGCAGAGGGCTGGTGTGACCCCTCGTGCCCTCCAGGGATCCAGTGCAAGTGCCGAGAGCTCGACCCCTTGGCTGGGCATCCGACCCCCCGCCCCTTCTCAAACACCCCCCCGTCCCCTCCCCGCACCTCCCCGCTCCCGCCTCCCGCTCTCTCCTCCGCTCTGCTCCGCCCCGCCCCTACCCTCTCCGCTCCTCCTCGTCCCCTCTCCCCCTCGCCTCTCTTTCCCGCCGCCGTGATGATCCTCCTCCCGCTCCCTCTCCCTCCCTGTCTGCCCCCCCCCCACCCCCACACACCTCTTCCCCTTCCCCTCTCCCACTCATCTCCCTCCCCTCCCCTCCCCTCCCCTCCCCTGCCCTCCCCCTGCTCATCCCCTCCCCTCTTCCTCCACCTTCCCCTCCCCTCCCCTCCACTCGCCCCCTTCCGCCCCCGCCGCGGCTCACGCGGGCGCCGGCATCAGGCCCGCCGACTCGCGCGTGGCGCCGCCCGGCTCGTCGCTCTTCCGGCCCAGCGCGGGCGTGGGGCTGGGGATGCTGGACGGGCTCGGGGACGAGCAGGCGAAGAAGGAGGAGGAACGCCGTCGCCGGGATGGGGCCGGGGTGGAGAGCGGGGGGGGAGGTGAGGAAACGAACAGGGAATGAGAAGGGGGCGGGGACAGGGAGTGGGGAGAGAAGGGGACCTGCTGGGCGAGCTCGGTGACAAGCCCGCGACGAAGGAGCAGGATGGCCGTCGCCTTCCTCCTCTTCCTCCTCCTCCTGCTCCTCCTCCTCCTCCTCCTTCTCCTCCCCCTCCTCCCCCTCCTCCTCCTCCTCCTCCTCCTCTTCCTCCTCCTCCTCCTCCTCCTCCTCCTGTATGCATGAAGCCCCCACGTAGCTACCATTTGACAGACGAGCGGGTAAAGCGCCACCCAGACACATGTGGGCACGAGTGTTTCACCAAGGTCACCTTTTCAGAGCCTTGAGACGCTCAAGACCGCGCCGCCGGGACTCTGGATGGTTTGCTTCCGCATGGGCCTTGCTCCAGGAGATCGCCGAGAAGGTTTTGACAGTAATATTGCAGCTACGGGCCTGAGAATTTGACAGGCAAACGCGGCACAACCCACTTCACGTTACAAAAATAGTGGTTCTCGAAACGAACTTTCAAATCTCTGACGATCTTCCATAAACCGACCCCAGGTCACATTGTCCGCCCAGGCCGGGTGGGCCAACTGGGAGCCGGCACTTCGGTGACGACGTGTCGTTGCTGACGCAGCATCCAGGATTTACCGGTCTGAACAACGCTTTCGGGTTCTCGCCAGAGGGCCCCGAGGCCCCCGAAGTGGCTGCCCTCCCACCCGCGGCGTCGCCGCGGCGGGAGGACACTCTTGCAGCGGGTGGTGACGTTTCAGTGGGCCCCGAGGCTTATGATGTTAGCCTTGATCACCAGCAAGAATTTCGAGCGCACCCCAAAACTCGAAGGTGTTCACGTGTCGGGCCCTGGGAGACATTGTTTCGACACTCTTGCGGCACTCTTTCGACACTTTTCCGGGTGCTCGAGATTACTTCTAGGATGTGGTTTCTTACGTACGATGGGAACATAACCCGAGGCTTTTCTTCGGGACCTTTCTGTGTTGGTGCCGGTTGAGGCCCAAAACTGATCCCACCGCCGCCGCTCCAGGGCCGACGCAACTTCAGATTCCACAGGACAGCCGGCTTCACCATCTCCAGAACAGGGCCATCCAAGATCTCGTGGAGCGGGGACCTGGATCTAAAGCCGGGGGCTTGGCCCCTGTGTCGGTCGATCCCGATATCCCTAGACCACGCACGGCAATGACATGGATCATATAAAGCGATCTTTCTCTAACGAGGGGCACATTATCACTGACCAGGACCGTGCTCAGGTTTGCATCAATGACGCAGCGGTCGATGCTGACGGATTTGTTCTCGCTGAGTGTCAGACTGGGATGTACAAGTGTATAGTTGCTCACTGAACCTGCCACCGAACCGTAGTGACGGTGACCTCTGCGATGTTTGCTTTTATTTCTAGGACACTCTCCTTGGCCAGGAGAAACTTACCAGTGTCGCCAGGTGGCGCGGATGGATCCGTGAGTCCATCCACCCCGAAAACATTCGAATGTTGGAGGAGGCTGAAACCACGTGGGTCCTGCGTGCCCATCGGACCCCTGAATGGGCCGAGAAAACACGTTGAAAGATGGTGCAACAAAGTGTATATTGATTGCACCACGCTGCATTCATCGAGGCCATCAAACCCCACGGTTGCCTCTCAGGTTGCCCCGGCAACAGGGAATGGGGCACAAGCCAGAACCCTGCAATCAAGTGCTGGCCGTGGACCAACCTGATGGACCGCTGGATGCGCGACGAGTGGTTCGCCGCGGACATGGCCGAGACACGCATCGACGACGGCAAAGCCCCGTGAACGATCGCCACAGCAATGCTCTGCATGGACCTCGACGAGCAGGCGCAGAGAAATATCGTTTACTCGGGTCCCGGCGCCGAACCATGGGCGGTGCTTGCGGAGGATTCATGGGGCTGCGTGCCGAAGGCGCAGCACAGAGCACCTCTTCCGCCATGGGCCGGGCCATGGCAGGCGCCCGCCCAGGTCCGATGACAGGAGGGGCACCAGCTTCGGCAACGGTTAATCGCCCCGCCCAACGTGAGGCGTCTACCCGCGATGGGGCGCTGACGACTGCCACGGTGACTTCGAAAGTGGCTGCCGGAGGGAACTTCGGCAGCTCCCCCCCCCCTGGAGGAAAACGTAGAGGGTGCGGGTCTGCTCGCTGCCGCTTTTTCACCATTCCCTACTCCCGCGCATGATGGTCCTGGCGCTCCCGCGGCGGCTGCCCTCGCTCCCGGCGGCGCTGCAGCCGCGGTGCCGATGCCGCTTCCGCCAAAGAAGATTGCGCCACTGCTGATATTTTCTTCCTATATGTGGACCACCGCGCCCCGGCCGCGCCATCAGAGCGCGCGACGAGGAGCGCGCCGTGGGGCGCGTGGCGTTGGAGCGAGGAGCGGAGTATCTAAGTGCACGCGGGCCCCAGGCGCGGCGATTACCGCTTTGACCGCGGCGCTGCCGGAGTGCGTGGCCCTGCGGGCCAATCTCATTGTTATTGTCACGATACCCCAGCAATGTTGCCCTGCGTTTTGCCTAGCAGCGGCAAAGACAGTCGACAATGCTAGTGGTGCTCGAGCGCGCTCCTGACCCTATACCCCCCCTGACGTCGCAGGCTGATGCCTCGACGTTCATTGCATTTGCTTGCAGCGCGCGCCTGGCTTTTCACCGCCCCAGTGTCGCGGGTCGATATATGATGCTGCCGCGCAAGTCGGTGGGGTGAGTCTTCTATGACGTCAATGCACAAGTGATGACATGATATGCATGCGTTTTGTTTACGCAGCCCACATATCTAGCGCTAGCAGTGGCAGTGCAGTTTTGATGTGCAAGGCGTCGTAGAGGGCTACGAACGAGATTTAGATTGCTCTACTCGCTGCTTTCCCATCGCAGGATACTTTGGCGAATTGCTATGCGGAATCATTTGTCGACGAATGAGGCGCGATTGCGCGCGCGCTGTTGACGTGGCGCTGCTGCTTCGCCGCGGGGGGCGCGCATTTGGCACGTCGCCCTAAGACTCACAGGAGAAAGATTGTCTCCGTGGGCGGGGGAGCCGCGCGCTCGCGCCGCAACCGCGTCGCCGAGCGACGCGACTGCCCATCCGAGTGCTTCGTTGCCCTCTGCCCAGTTCGGATTCCGCGCGCTCCGCCCGCCGCGGCAGGGGCGGGGGCGATCTCGGAGGGCTCGCGCTGCAATGCCGTTTTCGGGTTCTGCGCGTCCTGGCGAAGTGCCCCGAAGGCTGGCGCGAGCCTGCGCCCGTCCGGCTCGGGTTTGCCAGGCGACTCGACTGCCCGCTCGAGATATCAAGTTTCCTTGGCCCACCCTGCCGTTCACGCCATCACATCGCCGTCGGCGCTAGGGGGCCTTGAGATAACGCTGCGGGTGGGCAGAGAGGCGTCGTGCCTGGCGGTATTTTCTTACCTCGCTTGTCGACTGGGTCTTTACAGGGCGGGTTTTCAGCCTGTCGCTAGTGGCCCAGCGCCTTCGCTCCCGAGCCCCGTCCTTTCCATTTCGCTTTTTGCGTCTCGCGGGCCGTGTTTTTGGGACGGGGAGCGCGCGTGATCCTTTCTCCGATTCTCTCCTAGAGTGCACCCGTTGCCCCTTTCGGCTCACCGGCATGTGCAAGTCCACTCCGGCTCGCGGACTGGAGAGAGGGTGCAACCTGAGGGTGCAACTGTCATCGTGGTTCTTCACTCATCGCGACCTTCATCATGGCCCTTCACTCATCGGGATCGGCTCTTCGATTCACCCTTCCCTCGCGCATCCCCCTCCTCCTTTTCCTTGTCCTCTTCCTCTTCCTCTTCTTCTTCTTCTTCTTCTGCTTCTTCTTCTTCATTATCCCCCTTGCTGGCGCTAAGCATGCTGGAGTACCTTCCTTTTCACAGGGGAAGCCAGCGGAGGAGGAGTCCAGAGGGGTCACGGAAAGCATTCTCCGCTCAGGGCATGCCTGCCCGCGCCTCGCGGTGCACCTCGCGGATCGATCCAGTTTGGTCGACGGCGATGGGCCCTGAATTCAGGGCCAGGGCAGATAGGGTCTGGCGTGTCTCGGGGTGGCATGCTGAGGGGCCTCGCAACGGCGGTGCAGATGTGACGCCTGGGGCGTATCTGTGCTGCCATTCACGTTGCGAGGTCTGACCGCATGCGAGTTCACGCGCGCACTTCGGGCACCTTCTTCCGGGCTGTGTCTTCCCGGCGTTCTGTCCGGGCCAAACGAACGCAATGGGGTTCGAAACGTTTCGCCGCATCGCTCGCACATCGGGGGCGCGCCCTGGCGTGCGCCCTGAGGTTCTTCATCCGGATGTCGCCGGTGCATTCGCGACGCGGCATAGTGTTGCAAAACCGGAGCCATTTACGGAAGCCGCGGTGTTATCATGATGTTGCACTGTCTGGACTTGGGCCCAGGGGTTCGGTGGCGCGCGGCGCGTTGCCAGAATCCGCGCGTACTTGGAACATGCATGGATCAGCTGTGTGCGCGTGTGCGTGCTGCTTTTTCGGCCTACTTGGAGGCCGCGGCCACTTGGGCTATCCTAGGCCGATATGGTGGCGACTGTGGCCTTTCTGGAGATCCTTTAGGAACCATCTTGGGCCCCTTCTGGCAGGCTTCGGGGGCGGTGGTTCTGCTTGTGCTTATCGGCCGTTCCCGCCGCCGCGTTTAGTTCGTGGACCAAAAGACGTCTGGGAGGCTTCCTGGGGACGTCGGTCGGCCCTCATGCGAGCCTCTTCGGGGCTTCCCGCGGATGTCTCGGGGGCTTCCCGGGCACCGCGCGGGGGCCCGCAGGCGGCCCCGGGGGCCGCGTGCGGGCGGGGGCGTGGGGCACGGGTTGTCCCGGGCGCTCTACTGCGCGCTGGATAAATAATTGTAAGAAAGCGCGCCAGTGGATGTCCCTAAATGCGCAGAGGGGGCGGGCGCTCGCAGACACCCCCCCCCCTCCCCCCTTCAACGAGGAGGTGGGATTTTCGCTCCCCC